GCTGTGACCGCAGCCGGAGCCGATCTTTGATGCTACGTGGCTTCTCCCTGGTGTCTGGGGTACCCATAGCCCCCACGTTGGCCTCCGGGGGAGAGGGAGACATGGCTGCACCATGCAGCATGGGGGCTAAGTTGGGGTGGTGCTGGTGTCCCTGCTGCTCTCATGAGATGCTAAAAATTACGGAAAAAAATGAAGAGCAAGCCAAGTTTTTGTCAGCTGGGTGGTGGATGACTGCCGCCCCCAGCCTGGTACCAGCTGAGATAACTTTTACATTATCTCTGTATGCCAGGTTTCATCATGGTGGGTGCAATTCGCAGCGAGACACTGGTGGGAGAGCCACCAGTGCCCATTGCTACAGCCCCGAGGTTGCGGGGGCCTGCCACAGATGAGTGTCTGTGGCTGCGGTGGTTGGGGACGAGCTGGTGGAGGGCTGAAGCACTGCTGCTCTTCACTTCTGCAGGGGGACGCGGGTGAGCAGAGGCAGGACACGTGCTCTGTGGAGAAAGGGGCAGAGCAGGGCAGCAGCACCCAGCCTCGCTCCTCACACACTGCCACGCGGCGGGCAGCGGCTGTGAACAGGCCCGTCTTCCCGGGGGTCACCCCCGCGGCGTGGGGTATCCTCTCACCCCAGCCCGGGTGTCCGGTGATAGCCGCTGGCCGTGGCCCCCAGCATCCTGCTCCGCCAGCCCCGCTCCAGGGGGGCTGGGACTGGGCAAGCCCAGAGATCCCGCCAGCTCCAGCTAGTCTGGTGTGCTCTGAAATTTCATCTGTCTGCAGGGAGCACGGCTCCTCTGGAAAGCACATCTCCTTACCGACCGCCTGTTCCCTGAGGCTCGCTCCAGCCCAGGGAGCAGAGCAGATCTGCAGTGTGATGTACTGGTTCGTCCTGTGAGTGTCCACAGCTCAGGGTCCTCTGGCCCAGCCAGCCCCTGGGTGCTGAGCGTGACACAGTGGCAGTAAACGGCAGCCCTCTCCCTGCAAGCGTGCACAAACAGGGGGTTTGGAAATGTTTTATCTCAGCTCTATCAAGTAATACAACGGCCCCCTCGCAGCCTCCCGCCTGCTCTTCCCTGACTCTCCACCCCTCTGTCTTTGAGCCCAGGATTCCGTCACCTCACACGGAGTCGGGGTATCGCCATCCTCTGCAGCCGCCTGCGTGCTGCGCGGGGGCTCCGGGGGCTTTTACCCCCAGGGAGCTGCAGCCCCCAGCGCGAGCTCCGCTGAGGTGCAGGGTGTGAATGAGCAGCACTGTGGCTAGCGGAGAGGGCGAGTGGTTCGTATTCGGCTCACGGGGTTGCGAGACCTTGTTGGAGTTCAGTATCGCCAGCCCAGAGAAGCGAGCTCTGGGTGGGTCACTGGGACTGTCACCTCTAACCCGTCAGAGGCCATCAAGTGAGAAGAGGCTGCAGAAGCGTTGCAGAAAGGTCTTTTGCTTTTGCGGGGACAGCATTCCTCCTGAATCTGCTGTCTGTTAAAACCCATCAAAAGCCAATTCACCAACAGTTTCCACCTGAGAAATAATCACTTGTATGAAGACTTCAGCTTCTCATTTCCCACAATGCTAATCCTTCATGAAAACGAAATAAGGATTTCTACAAAGCTTGTGGAGGCCCTTGGCACGACACCATCCGGCAACAAGCTGCCCCATTAATGAAACAAAACTTCTGTTGGTGCTTGCCCAGAAAGACTTACCTTGCAGGCTACTGTAATTAGAGCTGGTTTTATAGGGAAAAAAGATTACCAGCTGCATATTAAAACTGCTTCTGACTGAAGCTTAGGGTAACATTTTCAGTGAGTCTTTCTCTCCATCTGTATTTACAAGCATTCGAGTGCCACCGCTAAGCCGATGCTCCCGGTTTTTGGTTAATTACTGGTACCCTTCTGTCCTTTTCCCCAACAAAACTCAACCTACAACTGATGCTTACCAAACACAGTGAAAACCATATACATTCCTGCGGCCTCCCCAGAGGCTTAGCACACTGCCAGGAAGGCTGATGTGGATGAAAAAGAAGCATCTCTGCCCATGCTGAGCAAGGTGGTGGTGGTGGTGCCCGGGTGCGTGTAGTGGGACGACGGTCATTGCTGCAGGTCACAAACATCGGTGCATGAATAGCATCAGCTGCTGACGTCTCAGCTGAAGAAAGCCCGCTGTGAGGCTACCACTGAGAGAGGGGAGACTCCTATTGTGCCAAACTCAGCTCTTCCCAAAAGTCACAGAAAAATCAGGTGAAAGAAAGCGCCTGAACAGAGGGGAGACTGGCGCTGAGATAAGGAGAAAGCATGATTCTCTCCTAATGCAATAATGGTAATGTAAATGCTTTAAAATACTTCTCTAGTGGCTAAAAAGAGCACGCTGCCGTATTTCTCATCACTGCCAGCACACATACCACTACAAAGATAGTTTTCCTTCTTCTGATTGCTTTGCAATTACAGGTAAAAATTGTAAGGTAATTGGATTTTGTACACTCTCATCCAAAGGCTTTGGAACGTGATTATCTGCAGTGACTGACATATCCCAAGTGGTGAACTATTGCATTAGAGACCTGTATGCAGCTCCATACAGCCAGTCAGAAGATGTGCGTCTGGCACTGAGCAGCGCAATTTCAGTCCTTACTGGGACACGGTGCAATCTAGGCTGAAGCCTGGCTGGATCCAGAAACATTTTGAGAGCTTCTGTCTTCGTGGCTGAAGTGAAAAGAAGCTCTAACCCTGAAAGGCTCTCAATCATGAGAGATATGAGAGGTAACTTAATAAAGATGTGTTGCTTCATTTGAAACCCCTACACATGTATGTCCATATGGTGCAACCAGCTCTCTTCTCCCAGCTCTGACCTGCACTCTTTGTCCAGTAGGTTCACCGGAACAAGCTGGGAATCTGTCCCGCCCAGGGGCTAGCTCTGTGTGTCAGGAGCATCTGCCTGAACTTGGGTAGCTCACTTCACTGTAAAATAAAATTAAATTTAAAAGTCCCAGCAATGATGCCGTGCTCGCTGAAAGCAGGAGTATAATTTCCACGGCCAGTCAATCGCAGCTTACCTGGGGCTGGGTCACTCTGCACCTCTCCAAGCACAGGCACCAGATTGCTCTCTGGCCGTGTGGCCATTTCACATCTGCCAGGCTAACAAAAACCCTGCAATGTGAAGTCCGCGGCGCCAGAGCTTTTAGCTGCAATGTGCCCTTCTCTGGCCCCTGCCACAGCACGTTAACGGCAGGAGGCTGGCGGACCGAGGGAGCTGGAGCAGCCCCGGCTGTGGGGAGGCTGTGAAGCTGGACGTGCGCCGCTGGGAAGGCCGACAGGTCCGTACCAGGCACGGGGGATTGCTGGGAAAGCGCGCGCCTCGGAGACGTCCTAACGCAGGCCAGCACGTCTGAACGGGCTTCATAGCGCTGAGAGAACACCTCTGCCTTACAAACCACAGGTAATGGCTGAGCTTTCAGAAAATGATAGCAGTTATTCAAATAAATTATAGCCCCTGTGAAGAAGATAAAAATTGCAGTTTCAGATAAAAAAAAAATTACTAGGGAGCGTGCCTTGATGAGAAATTGAGGCAACCTGAAAAAGAAAATCTGTTTAAGTCCAGCCTTAGGAAGTGGGCAGCGAAGTGGTTTAATGATAGTTACGCATTTCAGAAGTCTGGCTGTGCGAACCACTTCCCATGTATGCAACTGGTATATATAAAAGACAATGCTATTCTCTTCCAAGTACAGAAAAGTCCACTGAAATTTCTGACACACTGTTTTTAAAATGGCATAGCCACAGACCTGCAAACAGTTGAGCACTGTAGACCTTTTAAAAATGGCTCTTAGCTTCAAAAATAAAAGCCAGCAGAAAACACAGCCACTAGTTTGACAATGAGAACAGAGGCAAAGATGGCAACGAAGTCTCATCAGGGCTGGGTGACACACATCCCTTCATCTGTAAAACCTTCCTATTACAAAGTGTAGATGTAAAAGAAACCGACCTGGAGGGAGTAAGGGCTGTCTCCGAGGGAGAAAGCACAGCATCTTAACCTTATAAAAGCAAATCTACTGCACCATTTAAGGAACAATCTCCAGCACAGCTTTAGTCCAAGCCTGGTTTGTAATGAACAGGATCCCTGCACGCAGCCAGCATATACGTAAACACACACACACTTTATACATACATATACATATACACACACACACGATATATAGATATAAAGATAGGTAAGTAAAGGTGTGTGGATATATAAGAAGCAGATGTCAGAGGGCGTCTCCCTGCCACCTTTACTAGGAACTTTTTTAGAAGGAAAAAAATATAACCTAGAAACAATATTATCAGAAACTTTTATTTGTTGTGATTTGTAGCTTCATACAAACACTGAAATGAAGAAGCAAGCACTTCGCATTTTCAATCTGCAGGCAAAATACAGAAACACGTAAAAGATCTGTCAGTATTAACAACCAGACAATGAAACAATAGATCTGCCATAGAAGGAAGATTAAGCATTTGGGTTTGTTTTTTTCTGGTAAAAAAATAATAAAGTAGTTATTTTTAAATTACGTTTTTTCTATGTGTGCAGATGTGCTCTTTTTGTTATTTCCCATTTTTCTATTTAGTACAAAGGCTCATTTGCCTGTTAAAACAGATAAGAATTAGACAATAGTCCTAAACTAAAAGCCACTTCAAATATGTTTTGAAGTGAAACAGAAACTTTCCACTACCTTCAAGAGAAGCAAAGTCAATCCCAAACTACAGAATCCTACGGACATATGGTGGGAAAGCCAATCTAGTTCCTAAGGTTTATATTTACTAAGCTATTGTAAAATCCTGTGTTAACAGTTGGAGATCTATAGAAATCCGTAGTTAGAGACAGCAGTAGATAGACTGAGATCCATAGTTAGTAATAATTTAAAGCAAACAAATAGCAAAAAAATATTTTGTCTAACAAGGCTAGAAGAATCAAAATATGCCAATGAAATGAAACACAGTCAGAAAAGGATAAAACTTCTGCATTCCTTACGTGCCGTTCTAGCTGGTCACTGCTTCTCTCTCTCCTTCATTATATCAATGTAGCTCAGCACCTCTAGAGTCCTTCTGCCAGCCAAACTCAGGTACTCGGCCTCAGGAGAAAACGGCACTGCTCCCATCGCGCTGCTGGTGCCCGCAGGCCGCAGCACCTCAGGGGCTGCCATTTTGTGCCCTCCAGCAGTGCTGGGAGCAGGAACCCCCCCTGGGCTGCGGGCAGCAGGGAGGGAGCTCCCGCAGCTGCACACCTGCAGGGTGCCACACTGGGTGGACACATCCACCTTCTCTACTTCCATAACAGAGCTCTCAGTCTGCGACCAAACATCGCACCTCGTGCTGCGAGCCACATGCTGTCTGTTAAGGGCTTGGTGTAATGAGCTGCACTCAGGTGGGGCAGGGTGGTTTTTATTTTCCTCCTCTGTGGCATGTAAAAGAGAGTCTTTCTCCTGCAGGTGGGTTGCTTCCTCTCTAGGCAAAATACTTCTGGGCCGGAGAGGCACGGCTCTGGTGTGAGAGGTCTTGGGGGACTCTGTGCTGGCTGAGGCTGAGATGAGGCTGGCATCACCTGTCTTCAGGGACCGTTCATTCGGGTATTTCTTCTTTTTAGCTGTGTCTTCCTCTTCAGACTGAACAGATTTGTGTAAATGCAACTGTTTAAATAGCTCAGTAACTAAGGACTAAGTTAATGACTAACTAATAACTAAGTTAATGAAATAAACAGAAAGGCCAGAACCGTCTGGTTTTGGTTGTTTGGGGTTTTTTCAGTCTTTCTCCAGGGGTGTACTCCTGGCCTTTGTTGAAGAGAAGGTGGTTAAGGTGGACCTTCACTCTCAGACAGAATTTATATTGTGACATTTTTGCGCTCAAGAATGGCTGAAAACACACCGTGTGTCAAATCCTCCTGCCTTACAGGCATGTAATGTAAGGCAGCTACACATCAAAGAAGAGAGCAGAAGCTTGCTTACCATCTTCCCACAGTCATATTACTGTCATTCCACATGGCCTGGTATTACCAGGAGACCAGACCACATGCCTGTTAAACTACTTAGGAAAATTTACAGCTTATCATTGCTTGTCTTCCTCATACATGAAGTTGCCTTGTACAAAATAAAGCCACAAATAAGATTCCAGCTACACCCACCCTTAGATGCACTCAGGCATAGAGATATCATGCAAACCCATAAAGGGGCAGTCCTCACCATGTCAGGGCTAGAGCTGATACAGCTCTCTGTCTGCCTTGGAGAGTAACTGGGAGACTGGCTGCTGAGTGATGACTCCACATCTGAAAAACGAGATGAAAAGGAAAGAAAGGTTACTCTCCAAAAATTCCCCAAACATCCAACTCTCAAGTACAGCATGCAGAATTAAACATTACTACTTCTGATGAAGTTTTAAGATACTGTTTAATGAATAAAGTGTTAGCAAGGTCAATCTAGGTCTTGGCAGTAGCCAGTTCTTCTCCTCTCAGGACAACACATCTTAACACAAAGCATGAGACCGACGCCCTGAAGCTTCAGCTATGCTTTAATTGCCAGCCTGCACTGGCAGCAGAACTGTGCTACCCAAAAGCAAGGTCAGGTTGGACAGGGCTTTGAGCACCTTGTTCTAGTTAAAGATGCCCCTGCTCATGACCTTTAAAGGTCCCTTCCAAGCCAAACCATTCTATGATTCTAGGAAAAGGAGGAAGGACTCTGCCAAGCAAGGGCAGGGAGAGAATGCAGCAAACTCCCTGCACGCTTTGGCTGCCATACAAGTTACATGGGCTTATGGCGATGTTTTTCTCTTGGAGGCCGTTAGGGGATCTTCTTCTCTGAAGTGGAGCCAGCACAGCTGATGCCTACAGCTACTGAGGGAGCAAACAGGACGTGGGATCTCCCTGCTGACTCCCCTCACTCTGTCCACATGTGGAATGACAGCATATAGTTTAGTGGAAGAGAATAAAGACTAGTAAAGACAAGACCAGTAAAATGGCACACATCTAATGAAGATATTAATTAACAGAGGAAACATGTCCATGATTTTTTCAAACCAACAGAGGTCTGCAGGAATAAAAAGAAAGAAAATGACTGGCATTTACTTGGCATTTTACTACATGGTGAAGTTCGTAAACTTGAGTTGTGGTGTTCAGCTTAATACTCTTGACCTCTCTCATGGAATTTTGTTGTTTGTTTTTTTTTAGCAGTTACCCCTACTTTCAGAGCTGGCTGTTCAGCTTTGGGGACAACTATGGAGGAAATGGGACAGTGAAAAATATGTGTGTAATACTCACCAGAGAGAAGTTAACCTGAATTTATCTCTTCAAGCAAAAGAAAATACAGATAGTTCTCAGTTACCTGCTAATGCCAGTCACCTTTATACAGCACTGTGAATCAAAAATACAAGCCCTCATCAAATGTAACATCCTAAAAAGATCAAAACCCTTCTCCCTGGATTTAAAAGTAACTGTTTCACTTTCACATGTAAAGAAAAATCTGATTTTTTTACTTAATAATGTATAAATGGTACTAACCCTTCTCCATCTTGTGAAGATTTGAACTCACGCCAGACTTATATTCTTTCTCTTGTGCTGTTGTGAACTTTTAAAAATAAGTAAGTGTTAATAGTGAGGGTTCAGCTGGATCAGCACCTCAGATTCAGCGTGGAAAATTCAGTTTCTGTATTACATAAAAGAGTCACTGCACCATACCACAAATGATTTTAAGAGGTACAAAACCCCTAAGCAATACTGTATCTACCTGGGTGACTTCTATGGGCAAAATATCTACAAGATTCTTTATATGTATACTGATATAAAGTTCCTTTATAATACTGAAGTGTCCTGCATATAGTTCCTGGGCACTCCCTGCAGAATCTGATCCTAAGGGTTAATGGGTAACTTACACACTGTATTTCAGGCATCAGCTTAGATGTGAATTGAACCATGAAAATTATGGACCTGAAAGCACCATCTATCTGAACCACTTAACTAGAAGCTGTTTTTTCCAGCTGCCCTAAATAAACAATGAAGGAAAAGAAGCTTCCACAAAAGTTAATTCGCAGAAGCTAAATACAGTTTCTAACTGTTGTGGACATTCCTTCTCCACCTCAAATGAATGGTGCAAACAGTAGGTTTGACAAAAAGTATGTCTTCTTAAGAAGTTACCTCTTCAAAGCCAAAGAGCTCGTTCTGTCTCCAGGCTGATTCTTTCACAGACTCATCGTCACTGAGGGATGCAAACACAGAGTTCTCTTGTAAGTGATTTCCCCTCCTGTACTTCTATTTTCTTTCTGAATTAAAGTAATTACTGTTGACTTTTTTGTCTTCAATTTTTATTTTGTCTTCAGTAACCACAAAATGCTTCCCACTACTGAGATCATTGAACTTATTTCTGAACCTGAGACTTAACACCAAAACAAATCTGTTTTTCACAAACTTCACTTCTATTGAAATGCAAAATGTAATACGAGAGATGCCAGAAGATAGTGCTGCTTTGTAAAATGGAAGGTGTTATGCATCAAAGTCTTTGATAAAACCGTCTTTTGTAGAACATGGGGCACTCACATATGCTAGCTTTAGTCCAGGGAAGACACTAGCTTCCTCTGTAGCCAGTGCAAGGAGACAGGGTTTTTCAGAGGTCAAGTCAGAGCAACAGCTCAACTTCAGGGACTCAGAATTGTCCCATGAAGCAGTCATTCTCTGTAGTTATTATAGGCAGATGAATAATGGTATAAAGGGCTGCCGGCACATAAGTTTACTGACTATTATTTTCATGGGGAAAACATGCGTCCTCACTAATACTGTTTAGAACTTTGCCTTCATGTCATCTTAGCAGGATTTCTCCAGCTCAGCAAGGTCTCTGCAGTTATCACTAGTTAATACATTGATAATTTCTATGGCACTCACCTTTTTTTTCTTGAATAGTTCTGCACATCATCTTTTAAGTTAATCCGATGATCATGGTGATTAGCAAATATCTCTAAAATAAAGAAGTAAACCTTGATTTTAAAATGCAATAGCATAAATGCAATTTGAAAATAAAGATTCTGTCAACTTTTAAAAATCATTAAATAACTGGATTTGAAACTAAATTACTGCATTCTGAAGATTCATGATGTTTTCGGTCAGGGCAGACACATCTCTGGTTATAAAAACTTACATCCTTAAAAGGAGAATAACAACCAGAATATATGTATTTAAAATACTGACACGCACCATTTTTTTCAAGGTTTACAGGTTTTTCTTTCTTTTCAGAGGGTATGAAGTAGTGCTGTTCCTCATGACAGTCCTGCAGGTGGGTTTTATGAGGGCCACTGGTTTTCTTGTAGCTTGCACTTGAGGCATTGTTACTTTTAAGTAAAACCTGTTCTGGAGCTGTGAAAACACCTTTAAGGTGTCTGTCCACTGAATTTTTTGCAGTGATTGTAGGATAAGCCTCTATAGTATCATAAGGATAATTTCTGTTGGTCATTTGATATCTATCATCAGGATCAATGAAAAAAATGGCAGTACTGCTTTGGTTAATAAAAGGATTAAAATGCTTTGTGGAAGGAGTATTATGGATTGGCTGTCTCTCATCTTCAAACAGTGCCAGAAAGGAACAATTGCGTCCATCTTGGGGAGATTTAAGTTCTGCAGTTTCTTCCACAACGTCAAACAATAGTTCTTTTATTCCTTCACTGTTTTCTGATTCATTACTGGTCATTATCACAGGATTTTTCCTGGTGGAATTCATACAGTCTAGCCTGGGGGTTGGCGGTGAGGTGGAGGGGGGAGTAGAAAAGAAAAAACAGTTTTCTCAGTACATAAATAAGAAAAATACTAACTGCTAACAAAACAAATCGTGATAACTTGATGATAAAAATCTCAAAGACTTTACTGCTCATCACATATGCTTTTGTCCCAAATGTACATTATTTCAACTGAAAAACTGTCCTGTATTTTATTTCACTTTATAGTAAGGTTGATTTAAAAGGGGTTCTGTTTCATGACGTCGCCAAACATACCAAGACATGAAGCACGTCCTCCTGAGTAGGCAACTGTGATTTCTAAAATCAGCCACAGTATGTCACTGCTGCTCCACCAGCCGACCAACGAAGGCCACTTGGGGGGGGGGGGGGGGAGAACAATTTTGACGACAGCAGACGGGGCCTGGGGGGGGGGGGGGGGGGAGAAAAAGAGGACGACAGCTTCTTCCGTTGACAAAAATAGTTTGTTCTTCAAGACTACAGCTCTTTCCTGTACTGAAAGCCCGTAATAAGCTCTGTGTACTGCTTAATTCCTGGTCTTTTTAGCAAGTGACTTCCACTTCTGCTTCAAGTCAGTAATCCTTATTCAGCACAGACCTTTTCTATTCCACTGCCAGGAGGCCACTCAGACATTTTGTTTTGCCCATACTCCCCAGTCCCACTTCTGATAGTGGTGATTTTGAAGATGCTATCAGGCTAGCATCATCAGCATGAAAACTATCATGCTTTCACTTACTGGGCTCTTAATCTAACATTTTTACTGCAGTTTTCTAGGCTTGATTTGCTGACTGACCTTTCAGAAAATCTGAGCAAAATGTTGAGTAGCTTCTGAAGCATGGAGAATTGGCAAAGGCGGACGTTCAAAAAATGCCCTTTCTTTAAAAAAATCTAAGCATTGTTATCAATGGAACTTGAAACTGAAATGTAGTACAGAAAACTCTTACTGGAGAAAAATTCTGTAATGTTTCAACCAGCAAATACTTGGAAGATAAAAGTCCTAGAGAACTTAAAGAAGAAAGTATTGTCCTCTACTTACAGAAACCTCCCCAGAACAGTTTTTAAAGGCTAAATACACTAAAGATTGTTTCAGGGGAAACTTGGATAAATCTGCGTAAAGAAGGTAAAAACATATTGTGAAGCAATTCAGAGGCTCCTTCTTCACTCCAACTAAACATTTTGTAATGCCAAGTAAAAGTTAATAGTAGGTGAGGAAATAAGACATCTAAAATTTTTAGTTAACGTTTAATGATCTTGAGGTGCCACAGCTCTCAGATGTATGCACATTGATTACATCATCAGTATGTTACAATTACATTAAACAATTGTGTAAGTTTATACCTTACTTTTCACATACAGTGAAAGAAACTCCCTTCCTAGGAGGACTGCCAGCTCTTGAGGTATAAGAATTTATGGCTACAATGGAAGAAAGCAAAACAAGGATGATACAAAGAAATAGATCTGAAGAACAGATGGAAAGGAGATGTTGTCAGTGAGCCATGCATGGGCAGAGGACTAAGGGATGTGCCATAAGCAGAAGAGTGCAGGCCTGAGGGCTTGTGGAGAAATGAAAGGGGAGATGTGGGCAAGATAAGGTTATGTAGGGCTTTAATGCAAAGGTATTCATTGGGAATTCACCAAGATATACAGCAAGGTGAATGTTATCCTCATTTTAGGTTTTACTGGAGAAAGCCAGGAGATGCCAGGGGAGGAGAGAAAGAGAAAGTTACGGTGGCTAAGACTGGAAGCTGATGTGTTCATCTAGTTATGACGTGGTCAGGGAGCTCATCAGCCACTTGACTCCCCAGGCAAACAAGGTGTAGGTACTTCAGGAACAGCAAAATAATACATGGCCTTTTTATGTCTCTATCCAGCCAAAGCTGGAGACTGACAGGAACTTGCACCCAGACAGCAGACTTACAGAACAAACAGAGTAAAGACGAGCCCTGTAAGACCGCTAGATGCAAGGCAAGAGCCCCTAGAAAGAAACTGAAATAAAATGTTCAGTATAAATGAGTCTGGCCCTAAACCATCTGTGGTTAAAAAGACTTTTAATCAGCACACACAAAAAGAAATATATTCTAGATTTCTATCCATTCTTTTAAAAACAAAGTGTATATTCTCATAAAAGTATTACTGTACCAACTCTAAAAACAACAAAAAAAGAAGCTATAGTAGGATCACATACGAAAGAGAAAGAAGCAAAATGCTGTGTTGCTGGAATCCCAAATGGGATTGCTACAGCATCAAGGTCATCAGAAAAGCACTTGCAACAGTGACCAGAACTAATGAGAGCTGGGGTAGCTACCCTTACTGTGGCCGCTTAGTAAATCTGTGCTTCTCACTCGGGGTGAATTCAGTAACACCATTATGTTTGTGATGTTACAAAAAATACATCATGGTTACAACCTAAAATTCACATTTTACTGCCTTTCAGAAAATATAAATAGCTTGGTATGTTCAGTCTTTCCATCCAATTGCAATTTGTATTTGAAAAGCACCAAAAATTAGCGAAAAAACAAGTAGCAATAAGCTTCAGATTATCTTAGTATTTTTCTGACTCAAACTTGACTGTTCTTTCCCTCTGTAAAATGTAAAATGTAAAATCACTGCCTACCTACGCAATGGCTTAAACAGTTCCTGAGGCACTGTATCAGACTTCCTGAAAATACACTGGCTTGGAAGTTTTGTAATCCAAGGGTCCTGATCAGAACTCTTTCCTGGCTGAGAAAACAGTAGAAGCTGTCAAACTCTGAATATATATAATAGTTACAGTGTTTAAAATGTTAAAGTTGGGTTTAAAAACAATATACATGTTTTCCCACTATTTTTACTTCTTTTTAGCTTTATGGGAGAAGACCAAACCTCCTTACAGCCTGAGTTCTGCATAAGTTATACTTTTCCATATTTGTGTATCACTGTTAATACGCAAAATGTCCTTTGAGCACCCCATCCTCCCATAGCATCAACAAGCTTGACTGATAGACTCTAACAAGCTGCAGTTCCACTGAAGATCACGTAATCATAGAAAGCTGTTGTCTGGAAGGCACCTCAAGGAGGTATCTAGTCCAACCTGCTCAAAGCAGGGCCAACTTCAAGGCCAGCCCAGATTGTTCAGGATTGTTCCGGACAGAGGTTCCACAGCCTGTTTGGATGGCCTCTTCTGGTGCTTAGCTGCTTCCGTGGCAGTATTTTTTTCCTATACAAACAGAATTTCCGCTGTTGAAACTTGGTACTTTTACTTCTTGCCATTTCACTGTGTACCTCTGGCTCTGTCCCATCTGTAACTCTGGTTAGGCCGGGGAAGACAGAAGTTGATTCACCCCACATCCCCATAGCCTTCTCTTTGCCAGGCTATGAAAGCCCTCTTCACTCCATGTCTCCACATTCATCATGTGCTCCAACCCCCTAACAATTTTTGTGGCACTTCATTGGTTTTGCTACAGTTTGTTGCTCTGTCTCTTGTGCTGGGGGTCCCAAAACTGGACACAGTATTTCCAATGTGTTCTCACATATGCTGCTCAGAGGAAAATATCACTTGTCTTTCACTGCTGCATACGCTTCTCCTAATACAGTCCTCTATGTAATCAGCCTTCACTGCTGCAAGGGTGCACTGCTGACTCATGTACAGCTTGTTGTCCACCAGCAACCTTTGGTCCTTCTCTGCAAAACTGCTGCCCACTCAGTCAGTCCCACCTGCACTGATGTGTGGGATTATTTCTCCTGAGGTGTGGGGTTTTGTATTTCTCTGTGTCAAACCCTATGAAGTTCTTGCTGCCCTTTGGCTTGTCATGCTCCCTCTGAATCTCATTTGGCCTCATCTGGAGTACTCTGTCCAGTTCTGGGCTCCCCAGTTCAAGAAAGATGAGGAGCTACTGGAGAGAGTCCAGTGGAGGGCTATGAGGATGGTGAGGGGACTGGAGCATCTCTCCTACGAGGAAAGGCTGAGGGAGCTGGGCTTGTTCAGCCTGAAGAAGAGAAGGCTGAGAGGGGACCTAATATATGCTTATAAATATCTGAAGGGTGGGTGTCAGGAGGATGGGGCCAAGCTCTTTTCAGTAGTGCCCAGCGACAGGACAAGGGGCAATGGGCACAAACTGAAGCACAGGAAGTTCCATCTGAACATAAGGAAGAACTTCCCTCTGAGGGTGACGGAGCCCTGGAACAGGCTGCCCGGGGAGGTTGTGGAGTCTCCTTCTCTGGAGATATTCAAGACCAGCCTGGACAAGGTCCTGTGCAGCCTGCTGTAGGTGACCCTGCTTCGGCAGGAGGGTTGGACTAGATGACCCACAGAGGTCCCTTCCAACCCCTACCATTCTGTGATTCTGTGATTCTGAACAGCAGCCCTGCTACTGTAACGGTCACTCTGCCAATCTGGTGTCATGCATGAACCTGCTGAGGTGCTGAGACTGCATTCTGTCTCATTGTCCAGCTCTCTAATGAAGATGTACTGGACTCGCTATCAATTTCTGGGGATCCCTGCCATTACTGACCCATTGCCAATTATACTTTAGCCTACAGACAACTACTTTGAGCATGATGGTAACAGCCAGTGTTTTACCCATCTTATTATCCACTCATCTGGTTCATACCTCCCCACTTTGGCTACTAGGATCCTATGGGAAACTTTGTCAAAAGCTTTCCGAAAGTCAAGGTAAATAATATCTGCTGTTCTCCCTTATTGATAGAGCTAATCATTTCATCATAGAAGGCAATTAAGTTCGTCAGGCATGCTATGGCCTTGGTAAATCTATGCTGGCTGTTACCAGTCACCTTCTTGCTCGTCGTGTACCTTGGAATTGCCTCCAGGAGGTCTAGTTCCATAGTCCTTTCAGGGATAGAGGCCAGATGATACTTCCCCAGATCATGCTTGCATTTCTGCAGATAGCCATAACATTTGTGTATTTCTTATCACTGAGAAGCTTTCCTGATCACCACAGTTTTTCAAGATGATAGACATCTGCCCTGCAGTGGCGTCATCCTACTCCCTCAATATACTTGGATACACCCTGTCCAGTCCCACGTATTTCTTTATGTCCAGGTTACTCAGGATTTCCTAACTTGATCCTTCACTACTGTTTTGCACCACTCTCTCCCAAACCCTCTACTGAGCTTGAAGATGTGCCAGAAAGCAGACCTTGTCAGAAAAGTCTGAAGCAAAGTAGGTCTCAAGTGCCTTAGACATTTCCATGTCCTTTGTCACTAGCTCATCAACTCTGTTTAGCAGTGGACATAAATTTCCTTGTTTTCCTGTTGCTGATGACATACCTGTAGAAGTCCTCCTTGCTGCCCTTCTCACCCCTTGTGAGTTTCAGCTCTGGCCATCCTAATGCCACCCCTCCAAGCTCAGGGGATGCTTCTGTATTCTTCCTGGGTGGCCCATCCCTCCTTCCACACCTCCTTTTTGCACTTGAGCTCAGTCAGGAGTTCCCCGATCCAGCCAAACTGGCCTCCAGGACTTACTCATTCTCTTGCACAGTGAGGTGGATTGTCCGTGTGTTTTGAAGACAACTTTCGTGGGCTCCTTTGTCCTTCAGTTCAGCTTCCTGTGGGCTCCTGCCTACCCATACCCTGAACAACCCAACACCTCCCATTCTGAAGCCCTGAAGCACTCCTTCCTTACTTACCTCCAGAGTTTAAACTACCACTGGTGATACACGTAGAATTTGTTTTATTATTTTCAACAAATAATACATTTTCTAAAAATAAACGATATTATGAGACCCTCCTTATTTTTCCTATTACTTTTCTAAGGATGATTCTTTTAAGAATCCTAAAGTTAACAAAAAGAAAAAAACAGTAACATGCATCAGAACAAATAACTTTCAATCATTTCTTAAACTGAACTTGAGTTAAACAGCAGGGTTTTCTCAATCCTTTTAGGAGCATTGTGAATACTGTAAGAACTATGTTACTCACTGAGACACTCCATGATTGCAAATTAGGTCATGGCGATCACCTGGCATCATATGATACCTAGTTATACTAACCATACATTTAAGAAAGCTGTATTTATAACTGTAATACATTTCAGCTTTCCTTAACCAACTTTACAAGCCAGAAACAAAAGAAAGCCAGTGGTATGCGATTCACTCTTCCGTAAATACCGGTGATACTGAGCGCTCTGTGAGAAAAAGCTCAAGTTGAGCATAATTCATAACAATAAAAGAAACATATTGGTATATATGGAAAATTCATTGCCACTAGCCTACAAGAAACGTTGATAATTCATAATTATGTTTACCATTAGACTAATTCTACACCCCAAATAAATGAAACTTAGTTTAAAATATCACAAAACATTGATCAAACCTGGTTTTGCAGCTTCTCTTCATAGGTCTGTTCCCAAGTGTTGCCCATTAGGTTTGTGTTGAAATTTTCTTCTGAAAATTGTGTACAGTTAGAGGACCAAAAAACAGAAGAAGATAATGGACAGGCACTAAAAGCTCTTCCTATGTTGTCTTCATGTTCCATACTAGAGTCAGCATACATGAATTCTGTTACTTGTGATAACTAGACAAAACATAGCAGAGAGACATTTAATTCATCTAAACCTGTTTTGATGTAAGCATAAAGTTCAAAGTAACCAAACCTTTCTATATCTTTTACATCTCTACATATATACCACATGCAAGAGAAAATTTTCATGTATTCTGATACGATTTTTCATGAAAAACTTAAGGTAGGCTTATTTCAGGGAAACACATATGTACCTACTTAAGCTGAAGCACGCACACAAATGTTAATCTGAGGAGAGATGGGTATAAATACATTTTTAGCTTTAGACATGTAGGTAAATTATCTGCTGACTTGGTTCTTAAGTAGTAAAATGAAAAATATTTTACTCCATTGAGGAGAGAACTCCAGCATGTTGTGAGACCAACAACGCTATCTCAAGTAGATCAGAACACAAGGAGAAATTTGAAGGTAAAACTCATGAAATGGATGAGTAATCCATCTTATCCAGTGAAAGCAGCACAAACTACTAATAGACTGCAAAAGCCTTGTACATTAATTGCACAAAATATTTGTACCACAAAACTGTACATTTCCAGAAAGCTGAAAATTATTTATTTTATAGCCTCTCTTTCAGCTTAATAAAGTGGCTCTATCTTAATTACTTAAATTGGATATACTTCAATTTCTGAAGATTTTAAAAAGAATTCTTTTCAACATACAGGCCTTAGACTTTATTTTTTGATCCATACATTAAATTAGCTTTCTCTGTGTGCACACCGCAATATCACATGCTTTGATGAATTGATGTAAATCTGTCCATACAAGTGGAAGATGAGGAAAAACTTAGCTATCATTTTGATCCGTTATTTCTGGCCACACTAAATCTGAAGTACATCCTCTCTGTCTTCAAGAAACAGATGAAAAAGAGCCATAAAGGACGGCTGACTTAATGTGATACCCAAAAAAGTAGTGGCAGCTCAAGGTGATCTTGGCTGAAACACATTAGACAGCTGAACTTTTCGCCTGTACTAAGTAATTCTTCCTGACTCTACAGAAAGGAACTTCTGACACTAGAAAAACATCTGTCTTTCTCACTCTAGCAAAACATGCTCTGGCAACATGAATGGGCCAGGAATATACAGAACAATACTATGCAAGTATCTTTTGCAAGCATCTTTTCCTCAGAGTCCCATATGACATGAATAGCAGGAGTCAGTGGAGCTACATTATCAAGTAAGTCTGAGTAACCTAACCCAAGTGTCTTCTAACAGATTTACTAACTTGGTTGGCTTTTTACCCAACAGTGGAATGGGTCATAAAAAAAGGCCTAAATTCCATCTAGAGAATGTTTTTCACTGTAACCTCAATATATTTATGAACTTCTCAGATGTATCCACTGAGACTTGTACTGAAGTTCCTCTTAAAGAGTCACTTCTGTCTATGCTTCTCACGTTTCATCATTTCAGATTTCTGCATATTGTTTTTCATTTACTTGCTGTTGGTCTTAGTCTCTTTCCAATAATCTCTGTCCTTTGTGGCTAGTTTAGAGCACACATACTCTGAAGTATTTTGCAAAATGCCTAAAAGAAGGTGAGCCCTTTCAAGAAATATATGAGAAATAGCAGGAAAAAAATATAAAATATGACTGGCAAATAACATATCAGTATACCCTTAAAGAGGAAGACTTCACATGTTTCAGTATACATGAGATTTGGTCACTCTGAAAAATTACTTAAAAATGCAACCATTGCCACACATTCTTAGCTTCACATCAGTAAGAACAATAAACTTACATTGTGCTGGTATTTTACTTTCTCTAAGAGATGCTGCCTTCTGCTGTCCAATACTTGCTTTTGTAAACTTGTAAAATGAATAAAAACAGACTATGAAGTACAAGATAGAAGATCTATGAGATTAAAAACATTCTGAGTATTCATTTAAAAAAAAAATTAAGAGTATTTTTCCACACATCTTAAAAAGGCCTGATTCTTAAGCAGTTATGAGCAGCCAGTGTGTGAGCCAATCACTTTAGGTGTCTGAAGTTGGCTGGGAAAACAGTGTAAGTGGAAAATACTGTTTGAACAGCCTGCTCTGTGAGATAAACAGTGTACGTACATGAGATGAGTAAAGAAACATTATTTTTTAAAAAATCTCTCAGCTTTATTTACAGGTTTTTTATTTTGAATATGTAATAAATGTATACATATAAAATTTGTTCTCAAACCGGCTGATGGAGAAAGAGGAGAAGCCCTGTGATGAACGGGTTAACTTTGTTCATGAAATCGCATGTGGGTGTTACCAGTTTCTTTTGCAACTTAAGCTGGAGCAGCAGACATCCAGAGGAGTGAACAACCATTTGCTGATAAGTAAGGGAATGGCCCATCTGCTGATAAGCAAAGGAATGGCTTGGGTGATAAATGAGCAATGGCTTGGGGGATGAACGAGCAGACAGCAGGACGCCTGAGAAAGACTTCGGCCTTCATCCCAATGACCACCGAGAGGCAGACGACGACCACCTAGCAACTAGTCGCGCAAGCGCAGACACAACACGGAAGATACCAGGGGCCATGTACGCAGGAAACAGGAACTCTATAAAAAGGGGGGTTGCATCCGCTATCGGTGCGAACTGTTGGCGGAGCACTGGCTCCCCGGTCACCCAGCGCTGTCTTGTTCTTTTATCGCTTGCTAATAAATTGACTTTGATTAATGAAAAATTGGCTTCTCAAGTTGATTTGAGCATGAGCGTCTATAACAAATACATTTATTTACTCTCTCGTAGTAAGAGTACTGAAATCACTGGAATGCCAGGAGAAATTGTGAAACTTCACCTTAGAATGGTATATTTATGTTTATTTAATATGTCAAATATAAGATCATCATGAAATACCTTTTCCAGAACTTCATTATAGCTTAACTACTACTGCTTAGCTATTTTATACAAGTACCTGTTCTGGAGGTCATCTAAGTTTGATGTATGTTGTGTACGGGGGAAAAGCAAGCCCTCTGGACCCATGGGGAGGGGGAGGAATACCCCCAGGAAGCCCTCTAGAGCTGATAATGAGGTATTGGGATAGCTCGCAGAGGAAGAAAAATAAGTCTAAAGAAAAGATGATGAAGTATTGGGCTAGCTCGCCAAAGAAGAAGGAAAAGTCTAAAGAAAAGATGATCCATCATTGTATTGAGATCTGGGGAGGGAAGCCTCTCACAAACCCCCATGTACTTTGGCCCATTTTTGGGTCATTTGAGGACTGGGTGTGCCAGCAATTAAGTATATGGGTGAACAGTAAGAGACCACCAACCAGTCCTGAGGAAAGGGAATACGCAAGTATGTGGATAGGATTGGATACTAGAACTCATTTATTCCCTTTTAAAAGAGAAGAAGAAGCAGAAGCAGGAGTTATATTTCGTATTGCCATGATTATTGTTATAGGCTGTGAAAGTTTGGTGTCGTGTGTTGTGTGAAGGATCATACCATCTAACACTATTATAACACCTAAAAATGGGGCCTTAATGTTTGTATGAAGTGCCGGGCTGGCCCCAGAATGTACGTGTATTATTGTGTTGTTATTGTGTGTTAAAAAGTGCTGGGTGAGTGATGGGGCGAGTGAGAGGCAGCCTGGCTGCAAACTTGAGTGTAGAGTTTTGATCCGCAGTTTTGTATTCTCTGCGAGGAGAGCAAGCCGGAGACTAAGGAAAGTGTGTGGCAGACTGTGAGACAGGGTTACTTGAATCAAGTATTAACCCTTGGTGTTCTGAACATTGGGATTTTTCATGTAACTCAGGTGGTTTTTTTTGTGGTTTTTTTGTGGGAAAAACGTTTGGGTGTTATTTAGAAACGATTGTCAGTGTGCATAATGTGGAAATTAGTCTGATTGGGACAGGGCTGATTGCTCAGGCGGACTTAAGTGATTGAGGAAATTTAGGAAATATTAAAAATCAGTGAAATTCGGACAATAAAAGTATAGCTACAGAGTTCTTGTTATTACATGGGAAGGGACATAGGACAGAGTAGCACTGTGGTCCCTCAATGTGGAGCTCATACTAGCTCCTGTCCACTTTGTCACTGATGTTGCCTATTTGTTCACACTCAGTGTTCAAAGTGTTAGAAGTACATTATTTTTGTCAAATGGAACACAGGGAAAGTCCCTGCAGGATACACCAGGAGAGCAAACCATTAAATGAATAGTGAGAAGTAAACAAAGTGGAGAGACAGTGGAAAAGAGCCTTTTAGGCTGTATTTTGGTTCACTGGAAAGATATAGGAGGACCACCAGGCAGGAGTGTGAACAAAAAGAGACCTTAATAAAGTATTGTAATCAGTGATGGCTTTAGTATAAATCAGATATTAAAGAAAATAGCCCCCTAATGGAATCCTGAATTATAATAATTTGTTGCAGTTGATGTTATGTTGTCTCGGTGCTTACAGTATAAAAGTTTGGTTAAAGCCCTTTGGGCTGTACTTTGCATAAAATAAGAAAGAAGAACAAGAAAGTTGAAAGGATGTTGCTCAGCATGTAGTATAGGGCAGAGATGTACTAAGTTGGATAAAATGAAAGATCCTGGAGGGATCAT